CTCTGCCTCCCGAGTGCTGGGATTAAAGGCGTGCGCCACCACCGCCCGGCAGGAAATACACTTCTTAATGATAGAATTTGTAATGATTTTTATTTATATTTCAAATTCAAGATTACAGGGTTTTATTTAATCTTATTTTATTGCATATGGAAACATATCTTAATCCAAGAACACAGGGTGGAACTCAAAATAAAATTTGAATATTTCACAAATGCCCACTTAAGCCTGTATTAACACAGCATCCTCAGAATAACATGAGCTACATTTATATTTGTTTGTTTTCAGTACATCCAGATTGCAGTTTTGCCTCCCTCCATGCCTCCCATTTCCCCAAGACACATTTTTAAATTCTCATTGTCCCCTTAGGAATTCCACCTCCCTTTACTATTTGTTGCCACTAAATTTCAGATCTTTTCATTCTTTTTGTTTTTCACAGTTTGTGTTACTCCTTCCAGCAAGGCTTGTGTGTTACACCTCTGTGTTTCCCCAGCTGATTCTTCACAGAGACGTTCCTTGTCACCTTCATGTCTTCCCTGAGTACTGTCGCCTTGACTGTTGGGTTTTCTAATTCATGACAAACAAAAAAACAAACAACAACAACAAAAAAATGAATTCCAGAAACCGCTGATGTCAAACCTCACACACAATCATTTCTAACAAAATGGGGGAAATGGAGAACATCCTACAGAGACCACGCTGCAGAAAGGGCACCCCAAAGTCAGATCAGTGACTTAGCTACTCTGTTGCAGAACGCACTAAAAGATAATGATATACCACAGAATGTCATCTGTCATTCATTTTTGTTTGTTTGTTTAGTCCTTTTTTTGTTGTTTGAATATTTGTTTCAAGACAGACTCAAAATAGCTTTTCTAATTTTAAAGAACTTCCTTTTTTATTGTTTTTGTGTAAGATTTAAAAAATATGACTGCTTGGATCAACATGGTGGTACACGTCGGTAGTACGAGACTTGAGAGACAGAAGCAAGAGGCTCACCCTCAGGTGAGAACAGTCTAGTTTAAGTGGAGAGTTCTAAGCCAGTCTGAGCTCTGTGCTGATGCCCTATCTTAAAAGTCAAAGTTGAGAAAGAAATGAAGAAAGGAAGAAAGGGAGAAAAGGAGGAAGGGGGAAAGAAAGGGAGGAGAAAGGGAGAAACAGAGACAGGTAGGTAGCTCAATGTGGCTATTTGTTTTCTGCATGTCCTCAGTTGATTTATTCCCTTGCTTTGCTAGTTAGTCTGTCCAACATTTCGACATTGTGACACAGGAGATTACCAGCTACAAAGATCATCTTCTAGCACATTCTTAGCTTTCTGTGCCCCTGTGGTTGGTGGGCTGAACGTTGGAAAGTTGCTTGGACATCTTCCTATTTCTCCTGGCTCACTTACATTTTGAGTCTACTTCCAAAAGTTCTTCTACCAAGTTGGGGTTTGTCCTCAGAAAGAGCCCTGCCGGAGTGTGTGGGGTCAGGGCTGTTCTGCTCAGCCCTGCCTTTCCCTAAAGGGGCTCTCAGCATTGCCAAGTCGGTTGGCTGTGTTTTCCTGTATTTGTTTGCTACTTCAGGCTCTCTTCTTGTTCTGTCAGCCCCTTCCTTCACTGCCTGCTCCTCCCTCCCTCCCTCCCTCCCTTCCTCCCTCCCTTGTATACTCTAATACTGCAAAGATCGTGCTGTTGATAGTTTTTCCTTCTTGTCTGTAGTTTAAAGCTTTGGAGATGTCATATTATACAGTGTTGTTTTTTTTTTTTTTTAATTTTTAAGGAAAAATTTCTGGTTATATGTGAGGATCTAGAAATGGTGAAAAACCACACTGTTACCATCATGTCTTAGCAGAATGCCTCGTGGTGTTCCTGTTTTAACTTGATAAACAAGTACTTAAACAGGCTGGTAGCTGTGAGTGTTTTATGTTGGGAACAGACAGGAATTGACCACCTCCCCCACCCCCGCTGCCACCTTCCCCACCCCGGCTGCTCCTAGAGAAGAACCTAGAGAAATCCTGGCACCTTGGCTGATGATTCCTTCTGTGAACTGCTTACTACTTGATTTTTAATTTTCTTTTATTGTTAGCTTTCCCTGCAGAGTTTTAATTTATTGTTCGGGAACATGATACCTGCTTTTCAGCCAGGGCTGTCTTGCTATTTCAGACAGTGTTGGGATTATGCCATGTTCCTTGAAGCCAGGCTTTGATATCTGAGAAAGAAAGGGACTTCCTGTCACCTGTGGCGCATGTCAGTGTTCTTTCTGGCTCTGCTTTCTCACGATGCCTGTTTTATTTACTGTCGGAGAACTTCAGTGTGGGCTTTTTATCAGCAAGCATCATAAGGTGATCTTTGTATTTACACTGTGAACAGGTACCGTCTGGTCTTTTCCCTGAAGATTTTATTTACTTTAGAATCTTGTCTTTCTTTGGACGGACATAAGAAGAAAGGGAAGGTTCTTTTTAAATCATCTCTTTTTCACCTGCATTGGTACCCAACTTATGTCATTTAAACATACCTTGTAGGTGATAGTGATTAAAATGTATGCAATTAAAAATAAGGTGACTTTTGAATTGTGGTATCATAGGTCATACTGGCTTGAAATTTAGTCTTGTGCTCCCATTATAAAATTTCAAGAATGTAAATGAGAACTTCAGCCAGTACAAACCCTCATTAACAAGGGAATGAGCATCTATGGAAATGGAATGGCTATGTTGACTGTGAGCTCTGAGTGTAGCGGATTCTCTTCTACATCTTCAGAACAGCAGTGGGAACAATTTGTAGTATCTTTCTAATTGTAGTTTCCATCATTTAAAATTGGGCAGAGAGGCAAATGACTGCTCTACAACTACATTTCAGACTGGTTGATTTTGAATAAATCTCGTTTGGTAGTTCCTGATCTTAAATTTATTATCTTGAAGCTTTCCAAACAGATGCCTCCTTTCTAAGTAATGGGAAGAAATGGCCAGTTATATTCATAAACAAACTGATTATAGGTTTAAGACTTGCTTTTCCTCTTGGTAGAATAATGGTGGCGATTATGATTTGAGAGTCAGCTTGTCTATTTCCACACTTCAGCTCTACCATTTTGTAGTCTATTGGTGTGTGACACTGGACAACTGTGTACTTTTCTCCTCCC